ATCACATTAATGTGATGATTTTTTTTAGTTATGCTATGCAAAATGTGTAGATCATGTACACTTCGAAGTTCGAACCTCTGGCAAGCACAGTGCTGCAGCAACAGGAATTAAAATTAACATATAACATATATTTATACAAACCCATTTATACATCACACTGCAAGCACTGGATGTATTTGGCATGTCGACGTAAACCTTTTGCTTATTGGGCAAAGATCAGATAGAATACTGCGTAAATTATGTACATACAGCATGTACAAGTCCTAAATATGATTACAATAATAAAAGAATTGGCTTTAAAGAATGTCTGTCTTTTCAAACTTGTTTTAAACGATTTGTAAAGTCAACATTTAGAGATAATTTTGACAAATTCTGCTTTTCAAATTATTATTATTTTTTTTTATTTCAAATCCTTTCAATTCTGCTTCCTTACTTTCAAATGTCTATTACAATTCTGTTTACGAAATTCAATTTCAGGAATTTAATTGGAATTTTGACTATCACTATGTCTCAATTCTCAAAACAATAAGATCCGTTTTGAATTTCTTATTCATTCGGGCAAATTGCATGTGTTTTGATTACAATAATGTCTACAATTTCAAAGTAGCTAAATGCACATGGCTTGGTGATCAACGCTGATGAGTTGGTTTAAGTCACTCTTCACAACACTTTTTTCCATCATGTAAGCCATCACATGCAAAATGATTAATCAAAATCTGTCCGACATAGAGGTATATTTCATAAATATCTTTTACACTTAATGTTTTTGTTTACATGTAACATTGCTATAAAAAATAAATGTACTGTAACTGTTTAAATACAAATATGCATATTCTTTTTCTGTTTACTACAGTATTGACTTTTGTCCAGTAAACCTACTGAAATAAGTATCAAAATAGCTCAGTTTGATACATAATAGCATTCAGCAAGACAAAAACAGGGTTGATTGTCTCATTTTGGTGGCATTTGCCAATTTACTGACAAAATAACTTGTAAAATAAATAATAGCAAAATAAATAACAGATTTGAAGCATTAATGAAATATTTTGGGTAAGTTACTTGATGTTTTTAGACATGCAATAGAGTTGTGGTGTCACATAAAACCGTGAAAATTGCACTTATACATCTTGAGAATGTTAAGACAGATTCAAAAAAAATGAGCCAAAGCAATTTGAGGCATTCTCAGTTCAATTCTGAATGGTTTTACTAGATTCCAGTTAAGGCACCAATACATTTATGTCTAAAAGACAATTTTATGGGAAATTTGATGGTGGACAACAGTCCACCATTGAAGAATGGGTATCGTTTGCAATTGAGTAGTGAAAGCATCTAAAGTAAATGGTAAGCGCTTGAGGCCTAATGCATCTGTGCTGGAATGGAAAGTAAATTAAATTTCCAGTCTCTTGCCATTACCACGTGAGTATCTATACAATTCGCTGTACTGTTCTTATAGGCTAAAGCTCTTGAATGCAGATAGTGGTTGACTCCAATGTCACAGGCCTGTCTGTGAAAGAGAAAAGAGGTGAGAAAGTTGGCCTGGAAGGACGTGGGAGCTTCTGTTCTGACGCCCCAAATCACGTTTCACAACAGTGGGTTAGTCTTGAGTGAGACTGTAACCCAATATTGATTTTTCTCCTGGCCACAGAATGGGGGCTGGGGTTTGCCGAGAGCTCGAGCCTCATGTGGAAAAGTAGCTGACAGGAGAGAACAGCTGAGAGCCTGATTCACAGCCACTAACCCTTCTTTGTCTCCACCGACCTGCTTCTACACAGCTTCATTCTCTCAGTCTCAAACTTTCCCCTCAGCCTTGTTTTGTATTAGTAGTTCTCCTCAGAGTAAAGAAAGAGTCGGAGAATCGGAAAAACTTTTTGTGTGTGTGTGTTTGCACTTCGTTTAGACTCCTTGTTTAGCCTGGCCCCAGGAGGGGAAGAGAATCGTGCTGGTAAAAAGACTTGTCAGGAACAGCTGATAAGCAGTGGCAGAATCAAGGCCACTGTTTCAGGTCCGTCTTCACAGTCCACAGGGAAAGAACTTCTAAGCACATCTAATCAAAACACCGCTTGGCTAGATTCCCACAGCTGCAATACCTCACCCCTTTCTTTCAGCAAAACACCACCCTGGAGGTTCTTGCACACCACTGTCCACGTGGCTCCTCGGTGACCCCGTGTTCATACATGCAGCTAGGCTAGGAGCATTAGGGCTAGTGCTGCTTGAATTTGTCTCTTGTCCCCAGTGTTGAGCACATGATTGTTAAAATTAGCATTGAGATTAGCAATCGCTCGAAGCGGTGTAAGATTTGAATTTTAAAAGGGCTGCATAGTCCCTTCTTGTAATCATAATTTATGAAACAAACATTATGCCCTGTCAAGTGAAGCAGTAAAGCTAGCATAAGCACGACTTTAGGGCTTTTAGTGTCTTTTAGGATTTCATAATTGTTTAACTGACTAGGTCCGTTCAAATTATGCTTTCAGTATATCAAGTTTAGAAACTGTTCCTTGTTTGGGGAACAAAGCAACTTTTCTCATAATAAAATATTGTGAAAGTCATAGGCTATTGACATTATTTTCTCTAGCACTCTTTTTGCAAGTTAAAATAAAAGATTCATTCCCTCAAAATTGCTAAGTACTAAAAAAAATTGTATTTTTTTTTTTCTGAACTCAAATTTCACTCGATATTCCATGGTAACTTTCCTTGAAATGAGCTGTTAACTGCTGTAACTGGATAATTGAATCAATGACTATAACTGGAGAACTGGATCACAATATTCAAAGACTGTGCAAAGATAATTTACTTGTATAAATATCAATAAAAGAAACTGCAACACGCATTATGGCGCATTATACACCCCAAATGGCAATCGTTAAAGTCGTCAAATCACTGCATCTGTTGTTACAAGAGAAATGGGGAAACAGAAACACTTAGTGTCCTCATATGTGCTTTGGCTGAACCAACCTAACATATCTTTTTAAAATGCTATTTGAGCATAAGAAACAATATGGGACAGTTTATGTCAAACAATTTATTCATGAATTTGATATTGATACCATCACAAGGCAATCTTATGACTTCAGTGGGCTTGTGACACAGTTGTGTGAACCACTTTTATAGGTTTTTATGGTGCTTTCTGTCATTTTTCATGGAAGCATTCATGGATATCTGTCTCAGAACAGTTTGTGGGCTATCAAAAATTGGATCCTAAGCAGGGTTTTTCCTGCATATAGAATTACAAGGCGGCCGCATCCGTCAAATTTCGTTGGGGGTTCACGGCCTGTATCCATTTTCAAACGGTATAGTTTGCCGATAGTGCTGCGCTGATCATAATCCGCGGGTCGGGCGGGCCAAGTAATAAAAACATTACATTCAAATTAATCAGTGGTGGATGACAGATAAATCTATATTGTGAAAAAATACAAATTCAATTACCTTATTATTAAAATACATGATCAGGATTTTACTGCCCCCGCCTAGTTTTGAGCCAGGAAAAACCCTACTAAGCATTAAAGGTGCCCTAAAATGTGTTGAAATAATATTTTTATTTTGTCTCTGATATCTACATGGCTCATTTAGGGCCACTGAAAATGTCCAGATATGGTTTTACAGGTCCATTTTCAACTCTAGAAATTGGCCCTACAATGAAATGGTCTGTTTTTACCTTATTTGGAAGGGTCATGAATAGTAATGAGGAGTTCTACTCTGATTGGCTGTTTCATTGTGGGCTCATAAGCGTGCAAAATAATCATACGTCAGTTTTCAAAAATTAAAACATTTTAACAAATGGACTAACGTTAGATGACTTGTCAAATAAACATCGCTTCAACTTGTGTAGTGGAGAATGTGACGTTAAAGATCGAGTGAGCTAACACTATCTGTGAGCAACTAAAAGTAACATAGTTAGCCCCTGACGTTTTTTTGTTGAAATAAATGAAAGTAAAATTATTTGACAAAGGGGAATTTACATATGTATCTACAGTATTGTGTAGATTTACAGTATATGACAACACAGGCAAAAAAATATTAACCTCAGCGTAAATAATTTGTCATACTATGCTCGTTACTTGGAGTTTGCGATTTGTTACTGTACTAGGATCTTGCGCTGGATCTAGATAACATGTAAATCATTGTTAATAAAATCACTAGTTACCGCTTGTGGGAATATAGTTGGAATTGCCCCCTTCTTCAGTATGAGACGCTCCAAAAGCGCAATGTTTTATTTTGTGTCACCGTCCTAGGTCGAGTTACACGAGTGTAACTGTATTTAAATAGGGAAAACGTGGAGGTGTTTGGTCATATTGAATGAACTGGGCTAGTTAAGTGTGATCAAAGTGTCAAGTTTCAAATTCTAGTGCACCTTTAATTATGTCATCCCAGGCATCAGTATTTCAGGCCATCATGAAGTTGAGAAGATTGAATTCAGTTCAAGGAATCTCAGAAGGTGCTTGAGGTCTGAAGAATCTGGTGGTGCTACTATTCAGCTTTTCTCTCATCCGCTCTCTCTTTCTTTCTTCTCTCACACATTCCTTTAAAGTTTATCAGCCTTGGCAAACCAGAGTGTGTACACAGTGATAGTAACTGCAGTTTGTTTGATACCTCAGTGAAATGTTGAGTCCAGCTGTTTTCCTGTTCTCAGCAGTGTCTTTTATTGCATGTTGTTTGATGACAAAAGTTTGACTTGTCTGGGTTTTTTCCTTTTACTTGTGTCAACACAGCCGTTCTCTCCCCCTCGTCATCACCCACAACACAGAATGAAATATGTATGCACGCACACACCGTTCTTTCCTCCCTGTTTTCCAAAACCAGTCACCCCTTGCTGTTGACAGCTGTCCTGTTCCAAATCAACCTCCGTTCCCACCCCCAACCAAACAGCAGGTCCAGAGTTCTGGAAGTACATCAGAGGGATGTGATACAGCAGGAGCATAAACACTTTTTTGAAGACATATTCTGACTTGTTCTTCTATTTTACATGTATAATGAATCTGTTGTTTTGTTTTCATTTTTTACAGTGAATGTAACAGTATCTGGAAGGCAGCACTTACTGGGATTGTACGATACTGCTGGACAAGTAAGTTAATGTTTCTAAGGTCTATATAGTACCAATAGCCCATCTGCTGAACAACCTGAGTAGGGCCTGTTCACACCAAGAACAATAACTGTATTATTATCCACACCAAGAGACAATAATATTTAAGAAGTCTGGCATACATCACCAGAGAGAATTCTGTCATTTGTGTTCATCAGAAGAAATATCCCTTTAAGTATGATATTTTGATAAAAAAAAACTAAGCATATGCATAGCTAAATCATTCACAAGATCTATAGCATGCATTTCAGATCTTTTCATTTCGATTTCATGTATTATGCATGCAATAACAAAACCTGAATAAGACTGACTAAATTACATTTAAATTCATACATACATTTACTACACTGTAAAACAATATTTTCAAGATTTGTTATCAATTTAAATCATTTATTTAGTTCAGATAACTTATTATTTTGAGTTTCTGATGATTAAATCAATCTCCTTCATTGTATTAACTCACTCCTGTTCAATTAACTTAAAATTTTAAGGCAACCAGGTTACTTACTTTAAGTTAAACCAACAATATTTTTTTACAGTGAAACCAGAGTACAGAAGCAGACCTGACACTAAAAAAAAAATGGTATTTTTCACTGGGTTTACTTCAACATTCCCTACTAAATGCAGTTTAATTTCATCATTTAAAAAAATAGCAAAGGGATTTACATTAATACTCTTAAAAAACATCACTAAGTGAAGTTGTGGCATCATATCACTGAATTTAAATTCTCACAGTCGCGTTTAATGGCAGAATGTACAGCCTGTTTTGAATAATGTTGTAAATAAAGCTTCAAGCAGTGACTTGAAATTACAACAAACCACAGGCTGGGTTGTTTTTGTCACTGTCAGCTCACCATAATGACTTTGATTTGGGCTTATTATTGCAGCGATTCTTAAAAAAATAAACTCACATGACTAGTCAGATACAGCCTGAAGAAATGCATCTAAATCAAAGCCCAGCAGTTTACTTTTCTTGCGTGTCTAAAGGCATCACAGAATCAGCCGCCCCTGCAATAACTGTCACGATATGCAGATATGAACCCAAACGCAGACAGTAATAAATAAAACAGGGATTTATTAAACAGACAGAAAACAAAGATCCACGAGGGGGCAAACGAACATTGACAAGACTAGACTAATGAACTTGACAATAACATGACTAGAACTCTGATCACGGGAATACACTGCTCACAGAACAGGATGGCAAGATCTAAAACGAAAAAGCACCGAGTAACAAACCCAAGGACCTTAAATAAGGGACATCATCACCAGGGCACAGGTGACACCGATTAACAATCAAGACTAATGAGGAGAACAAGGGGGCGCGGTAAACAACACAAGACAACGCAAGCGCATAGCCCAAAGCACGGGTCATGTGTTTGCACACACAACATGAGAACAAATCCTGACAATAACCATATTATTGGATCCCAGTTGTTAAGAGTTAATCCTGGAATATATATGCAACAGATTATAATGTCTGAACATAAATATAAAAAACTCCATTATTTCTATCCAGTGCCGGTGTAACATCCAAATTAGCTTTCGTTTCTAACTTTTCTATGTAGTGTCAGACAGTTATTTTAGTTTTTAATATAGTATTTATTAGTATTTTGATTTCTTTTTTACTAAAAATTGTACATTTTTTTAAGTTTCAGTTTTATTTATTTTGTTATGTTTTTGTCATTTTTATTATTTTTTGTAATTTTACTAATTATTTCGGTTGGATGAAAGAGCAACATTTCTAATTTATGCTTTTTTTCATCTAATATTTTAAATGTATTTCATTTAATTTATTTCAATTACCAAAAATGTTTTTCTTTTTTAAATATAGTTTTAGTTAACAATATCAACACTGGCTTGGTTGTATCATTTCCCCCAATTTGTTCCGCATTTTAAGTTAAAATTGTTTAAGTAAAAGTTTTAAGGAACAAAAAATGACACCATCACCAATCCAAAAATAGAAATGAGGCATTTTTGACATTTGTGTATTACCGTTACTGAATTTCATTACAAAAAAAATAATAATATGTAATTTAAAAAAAAAAATGGACATTTTCAAAAATTCTAAAAAATTAAAAAAAATTATAATACATATATATACAGTATATATATATATATATATATATATATATATATATATATATATATCATCTATCATGAAAACTGAATAATCTGACTTATAGTTAAAAAATATATATATTATTATTATAGCTCAGAATTATAGCTCAGATAATTGTTCTATTTTCATAATTGATCATAATTGATCTGTGAGGGCTGCATTCATTTAATAATCTATGGAATTTCTTACAGTATATATTTGAATAAATAATGAGGGAATAAACAATAATTTTGTATGCAAAAACATGCAATATGTACAAGGAGAATAGCAATATGTGCATATTTTACAATAGATGTCTCAGATAATTAAGGCACTAGACTGGCATGAAGAGCTATAGGGTACTAATTTGCAAATATACATATTTACCAATAATGCACTGACTAAGGGCATTTTACTTTGTTTTAAGGACTGAAGTAATAAATAAAGCTAAAGTGTGAGTATTTCTGTTCAGCATGATTATGTAAATGTTTCCTGGGATCTAAGGACAGTATGAGCTGTAATGATACATATTTACTGTGTTTCAGAATTGAACAGACTGACTAATGTAGTGTGGAGCAGACTGCTGTATAAATGAAAGTAATATAATTCAGCACGTCTACTCCTTTAAGCAGTTCACAGAGGAGCATTTGTGTGATGTTTGGCCCTTCTCTTCTATTGATCACTGACTAAGAGATCAATTGCACTCAAGAAGAACTGACTTTTACAAGATGCTGGTGCTAGTGCAGAGTTGTCATTTGGCAATGACACTTTAAAAGCCTAATGTAAATTATTGATGTTCATTTGCATTTCATAATAACAGACGGAATAAAATCATAGATGTTAATGATGCTCAACTTGTTACTTTTATTTTACCAGAACATTCAGGGTCCTCATTTTTAATATGCACTTTTAAATGGCCAATATAAAATACTCAGATATGATACTTCTTTACATGCAGTGGTTTAGTCTGGTGGTCCACAAACAGGGGTACATCCATATCAAGTTTTACTTAAACCTGTAAAAATTTACATTATTAATTGACTGGTTTTCATTTACTCTAACATTCAAAAGTTTGTGGTCAGGTTCTTTTTAAGTTTCTAATGCTCTGCAATGCTGCATTTATTTTTCCAAATTATATGTTTGGAATCATATTTCGGTTAACTGATGAGATGAACTGGGTCTAAAGCAGGTCTTACTTCACTCATCATCTTCGCCATGTGTTATAGGAGGATTACAATCAGCTACGGCCCCTCTCTTACCCCAACACAGACGTCTTTCTCATCTGCTTCTCCGTTGTGAATCCAGCTTCCTATCACAATGTTCAGGAGGAATGGGTACCTGAGCTCAAATCCTGCATGCCTCACGTGCCCTACATCCTCATTGGAACACAGGTGCGAGAGTTTCTAATTCAGATAGTGATATGATTTTTTAAATAACATTAATAATAATAAAGTTGTTATTATTGTTTATATTTAATTATCAGATAAAATAATAATAATACATTTTATTATTATTGAAAAATAAATCATTGTTGTTGTATTTATATTATCAGATCAACTATTAATATTATAAATAATGATAGTAATAATAAGCATTGTTATTAGATCAAATATTGAGATTAGCCATCAAATAAACATCTGAATATTTATGGACTGCTGAGGAGCTTGAACCCAGGATTTATTTTTATTCTGGCATTTATTTATGGAAATTTTGTTCCAATTCATTCAGATTGACTTGCGAGATGACCCAAAGACACTGGCACGTCTGCTCCAGATGAAGGAGAAGCCCCTGACCTATGAACAAGGCCTCAAACTAGCCCGCGAGGTGATGGGATTTTCATACTTTTGGTGGTTTGGCTTATGGGATTAGTTCACCTCAAAATGAAAATTTCCTGATAATTTGAGATGGTCCTCACTGAAGAACACAAAATCCAGAGGGACTAGTTAGATCTGGATCTCACCTTACATATACCTATACCGTCCCATCTCCACCCCTGATTCCTAACCCCACCCCTAATCCTACCCATCTCCACCCCTTAGATCTGGATCCAACTCCACCCCCTGGATCTCATGTACTGCAATGAGGTGCTACTGGATAATTTGCTCACCACAATGCCATCCAAGATGTTCATGTCTTTCTTTCTTCAGTGGAAAAGAAATGAAGTTTTTTGAGGAAAACATTTCTGTATTTTTTTTTCAAACAATGGACTTCAACAGTAACTAAATTGTTGAAGTCCAAATCAATGCAGTTTCAAATCTTAACTGCACAATCCCAGCAGAGGAATGGGGTGTTACCTAGCGAAAAGAGTAGATACTTTTTAACCACAATTGTTCTTCTTGTGCTGGTCTGCGTTTCGCCAGGCATTACGTAATCACGTTAGAAAGGTCATGCTGGACGTAAGCAGAAGTACCGCCCCATTGTTTTAAACATCCAGGATACACACACGAAAGGACCATTTTAAACATTATAAACTGACACGAAGACATAAATGTGTCATTCAACATACAATCAAATTTGAACGGTCCTCCTTCTCTTCAACAATTTGGTTACCGTTGAAGTCCATTGTGTGGAGAAAAACCCTGAAACTTCATTTCTTTTCCACTGAAGAAAGAATTGACATGAACATCTTGGATGGCATTGGGGTGAGTAAATTATCAGGAACTTTTTATTTTGAGGTGAAGTAATCCTTTAATTGTCAGTTGTTTGCTCTTGATCTGTCCAAAAAAACAGAAAGCATGATTTATGAACAATCATAACAGTGTGTCAAAGCACTGAAAGCATTAGTTCACCCAAAAATTCACCCTTATGTCGTTCCAAGCCTGTATGACTTACATTTCTCATGCAGAACACAAAAAAGAATGACAAAATGTTTGAGCTGGTTTTTTTTTTCTATTGGTGACCACATTTTTGTAGTGAATAAACAATTAAATTTAGGGATTATAAGAGGACTTCCATTGCATGTAAAAGCAGCTCTGACATTCTGCTAAACTTTTCATTTTGTGTTCTATAAAAGAAAAAAAAGGTTTGGAACAACATGAGGGTGAGTAAATGATGACGGAGTTCTTGAGTGAACTAACCTTTAACTTAAAACTGGGTGTTTTGTCTTATTATTATATATTGCGATCCCCAGATTGGAGCCCAGTGCTATCTGGAGTGTTCGGCATTGACTCAGAAGGGACTAAAGACAGTGTTTGACGAAGCCATCCTGACAATATTCAGCCCTAAGAAAAAAAAACGAGGCTGCGCAACCTGCGTGAGATGTTGTGCTATCGTGTGAGGATAAAACATCTCCAACTGTGAAAACCCACAGTCCTCCAAAGCTTCAGGCAATGTAACAGACCCTAAACCGCCTCCAGTCTGCTGTACATCCTTCCTTTCTCCATCCGCCTGTTGTCCCTCAGGACAATGAGCGGTCTTGCCCTCGGGTTTGTGTGTCTCGTGGAGAGCTTCCAAAACAAGTGCCTTAATTTCTTCCTAAGTTGCCTTACAGGATTCACTTCTCAAGCCAAAGAAGTTTCAGAGCGGACTGTGGTTATTTGAAGCGACGTGGCGTGACGTCGCCAATCTCCAATCAAACAAACGTTTTAGATTTAGCTCTGGACCGTATATTATATGGTTTCCAGAGGCTTATGAAAAAATGAAAATCCATTCCTCCTTGCAAGCTGTTCTTTTCTCAGTCACCTCAAATCAATATTGTGCTCTTTCTGGAGTCAATGATTCAGCAGTTCGAGCTAGTTAATAAGGGAAATTCTCTGGAGGATGGCCAACTCATCAATAGAGGTAGAGCGAAAGGAAGAAGAGAGCACACAAGTGTAAGAAGTGCAACTTTACCGCAAATCATTGGGTCATTTAAAATTAGCAACTAATGATTGGCAAAAAAAAAAAAAAAAGTTGCATACCTACACATCCAAAGACACCAACAGTAATACTTTAAAAAGAGTGACAATCAAGCACACTATATGGAGGCTGAAGTCTGTCAGTGACAGGATAAAGGGAAAATGTATATTGTGACAACATTAGTCCATGAATCAATCGTTTTTGAAAACTGAGATGTCATGAAGTGTACTTAGTCACATTTTTATGAGCCATCAGACTTTGATCTTTATACAATGTACGTGCAGAACAAGGATGCCATATGATATAATGGTGCTGTAATTGTTATATTTTTCAAAAGCATTTACATTTTGATTTTTGAAGAATAAACTACAGCTAAAATAAGAATGAATAAAAGAAGATTTTTCTGTATTTTATCATAAATTACTCTGCCTACACTTAAAACATGCTCTCATTGTTCTCTTTTAAAAATGAGCCGAAAGAGGACCGTAAGTGCCACTTAAAAATAAAAAGAAGTAACTAATCACTTTTCAAATTAAATGAACAATTTAGTTAAATGTAATGATAAATTGATAAATCATTTAAATGCAACATTTAAATTATATTATTTTTATAGAGCATGTTCAAATTGCTTTTCCTATCCATTTGCCAGTTGTTGTTTTTTGATGTATTATTTTAGTTTTAATCATTAATCACGAATTAAATAGGTTTACTTTTAATATTTATTATTATTAAGTGGCACTCATAGTACACATTATGATCTTACAACTGTGAAAAAACACACCCTATCACTCCCTATTTCAGCTAAAATTCTGGTGTGTTGACTAAGAAACAGGCTGTCTAACTGTTGTGTTTTTCCTCTGGCTAAAGCCACCCCCTTATTTTCCCCTTTAAAGATCAGCTCAAACACAAATGGCTTTGTTATTAAACTTGTTTTTTCCCGCCTTATTTGGTCTTTTCAAAATGAGGATGTTCCCTACTGTATTTTGGAACAAGTGTCAAATCGTTCGGACAATATTATGTGTAGCCTTTACCTTTTTGTTTTGGACATGGGAGATAATAATATTTAGGTATATTAATCATCTGCCAAAGCAATGAACTGAAACCGTGCAGTTCAAGTCTCCATATCATCACTCCACTTACCAAAAACTTGTAGTTCTCAGACGACCATGCTTTTGGACACCAGAACTGGTACTGATTTCTTGTGATTGCTCTTCACATCAGTCGTTCCTTAGTTTGACCTCAGGGACTTCTTTCCAGAGCCCGCAAGGTGCTAGCGACCTTCCTCAGGCTGATGAATCAAACCTGCTCCACAGAGAGTAGAAAGAATGAGCCTTCATTCACTTGTCTTTAATGTAGCATAGAGATTGATTCTTCACTCAGTTTAAGTGCACTTCACTGTGCCTTGCACAGTCCTATGCAATTGTTTATATAATGCTAATTTTCAGTCAATGGTTGAAAGAGCTATAATTTGAACTCAGTCTTGAACTCCACTGTAAACTTATATTTAATATTTTGAGAATAGTTTTTTTTTCTTCTTTAAATTTCATGTATTGGTTTATTTGTTTAAGATACGTGCTTCCTTTGCCAAAACTAAAAATGTGTTGTAAATATACACAGAGTAATTAAAGCTTGTAATAAAACTTTTGAAATTGTCTTTGTCATTACTATTGTTTTTTTCAGTTCTTGTGTATTCGGCTATTCGACTGCCAAATTTGCTTTAAATTTGGTTCTCAATTTGAACAAAAATGCATTATCCTACAACTCTAGCCTTCTGAGAATCTTGAGAAAGTGTTGAAAATTTGTCCTTTCTCTGTCTGCTCCTCTCACCCTGTAACTTCTGTTACTTCAATAAATCCACGACCTCCGACAAATTAAGCAGATTTGTCATCATCAGTGGTGTAAGTCCAGGTTCAGAAAGTAAAAGTCCTCCTCAGTATTTCGTAGACCATTTTGCAAGATGTAACACTGGTCCAGAAACACTTCCTGTTTCGGTTTGTAACTGTTTTCTTTATTTCACATGTAAAGAAAACATCTTAAAGATGTTTGCTTACCTTTTTGATTCAGTTGTATATGTTCTGTTGGTTGTTTTTTATCCCAGCTTTTATGTAGTGTTAAAAAACTGAAACAGGAAGTGCTTCTTGACCAGTGTCAGCAAGGAGATAGAACTAATTAGCGAAATCAGGTGGCTGAGTTCATGGCTGGAATAAACATGCCAATCATCAGTTGCTGGTCACAACTTCTCTGCCTACAGTCTCTGTTCTCCTTCGTCAGATCCTCCTTAAAGGGACACTCCACTCATTTGCATTAAGATTTCCATTGTTAGAAATCCAATTTTACTATTAAATGGTCGTGCAACACTCTCATTTTCCCCTGAGACGAGAGAAATCCGCTATTTACTTTTTCACCTCCTACAAAGACGCAAAAATCGTCATTTTACGTCATTGTAGGAGAAAGTGTAAGAGGGGTGGATTTCTGGAAAGACTACAAGCACTAGTTTACACACCCTTTCAAACCTGCCGATAGGAGGTTGGACCTAATGCGCTAACAGACCAAACAGTTTAATGCAGCTCGTGGAAGAGGGACAGAACACAAAAATATGAAATTTAAACAAAAATTAAATTATCATTAATTCATTATTAGTTGTGATAATCTAACCAAATAAATTTGAACACATCGATCTGGAATCTCATTACACAGCCAATCATTCTCTATTTCAAATGAAACGTTTTCCTTCAGCTGTTGGAATGAGCCTCCTGCCACCTACTGGATTAAAATGGCACATGCTTTTAACAGATTTACATTTTACACCCTTCCTATTTTCTCAGAATTTGTCTACACAAAAAAATATTTAATTAATATAATGAAAACATTAACCCTAATGGGTTGATCAGATACTTTTCAATCTGCAAATATATAACTTAAAATTCAGAAAAATACCTTAGAAACTACCCCCCCTCCCCCTCCCTAAAAACCTGCACACAAAAAGCAAACATTTTATCACAAAAAAACATGTTTATTTAATATCTCTTTCTTTTTTAAAATAATTAGATTTATTCTATTCATCAAACCCTTTCTTTTGAATTTTTTATACATATCAAATTTGGGCCATCATAAAACACACAATGAGCTTGGGAGAGAGAGTTAAAACAAGGAAGAGAGAGAGAGAGAGAGAGAGAGACACACATGATTAAGCCAAAAAAATATATATAATAAAATACATCCTCCTCACATGTAAAATCCACGATTTTTGGGACAAATAAAAGAAAAGAAGAAAGGGGGCTGAAGTCCCATGAGAACAACTAATGATCTAGCTCGAAGTGCTTTTTAGTTCTAGCCTGGTGGCTGGTATTTCAGAAGAGAGATTATGACCTACCGGATCAGCGTTTACCTACATAGGTCCTAAAAACCCCAACACAAGCAGGATTTCATTTCAAACACTCCATGAACATAAAGAAAAACCTTGTCTCGCTCAGCTCGGTCATGTAGATGACATCCAACCACCCTGAAATCGGAAACTAATAGAGCTGAGCAGTGGAAATACGGGTGGAACATGAGAAAAATTTGCAGAATATTCTTTACGAAAAATATATATGTCACTTAACGGTTTTAAAAACACTGGATGAGCTCTGAACACTGTGCCACCAAAATTCCACAAGTCCAAGAAACTGAGCTTGACGTACTCTTGGCAACTACTGAATTTCCACATGGGAATTCCCAAGAGTCTCCACAGCAGACAGCATGAAGCTATGACCGGATAATTTCCTGGTTCACAAGTTAAAAAAATAAAGGTCCTCGGAGAGGTTTGTCCTCTTTATTGAGCACAGGTAACCACCGTAGCCGACTGCGGCCCATCTTGGACGTTAAGATTCCTGGTCAGCGAAAAGCACCTGTCCATAATGTACAGTAAAAGGACCAGGCTGATCATCCTGTAAAAGAAAAAGAAAAAAAAAATGCACACCACAGAGAGGATGTATAATGTTTTTTCCCCTCCCCACTTCTGTTTTCCTAATATTCACATCATGGGTTTCTAGTTTGCATCCCCTGGGTCAGGGGAGTCAAATTATGTCTAGATGGAAAAGTCTCTCTCCATAAAAAAAAAAAACAATAAATAAAAAATTGTGGTGGCAGCGGGATCCTCATATAAGACATCTTTAATCGCAGGGTGAGCACAGACCCTAAAGTCCCAGGGCACTTCCTTGGAGAACGATATCGACATGGAGACACTGAACAACTTCTGAACTGAAAGGATTTTTTTTTTTTAAATATATCCTTTGACCATAGCTGATTATCATTTTACCATATATTTTACAATGAGGAGTGCACATTAAGTCTCTCTTCAAATTTTCTGTTTTTTTTTCTTTTCTTCTTCCTTTCAGTGTAGTAGTATGATACAGGAAAGAGGGAGAGGATTATTTACAGTGCTGTTGAAAGAGAGGAAATGAATGAGGGAGTGTGCGGTAAAGTACGCAGCATGAGAAGCAAAGAGGGGTCCCCGTGGAAGAGTAGAAAGGGATTGGTTGGGGCCAAACAGAAGGTTGGAGACGAGGTCCGTGTTAGGTGGGAATGACACCGTCGCTGTTCTGGATGCCCCGTCTGAGCTCCAGGTCCTCCAGCTTCCTCCATAGATCCTCCCGTTCCTTGTCCTTCTTCCTTTCCCTACAGGAAAATGAGAAAGGTTATCTGAACTGCTCTGTAAAGTGCAGGAGTTTAAAACATTACTGTACACTGTCTGTTTCTTGCCTTTGCCTGTCTGATTTGTAATTGGCGGCGAGTTCGTCGAACAAAGCGCTGTTCATCTCCATGAATGCTTTGAGGACATTGTAGATCAAAGCTGATATTGCCCTGATGGTAGAGAAAAACAGACATGAACATCAAAACAATGTTTAAAATATCTACTCTGCTTTTATTAATAATATACACCATTTAAAAGTTTGGGGTCAGTTAGATATTTAATCAAAATAATAATAGTTATTCAGCAAGACCACATTAAAGCGATTAAAAGTGACAAATATTTTGTAATAATGGAAAAGTCTTAACTATTTCAAATTTACATTTGTACATTTAGCTGACGCTTTTACCCAAAGTGACTTACAATTGATATATATATATATATATATATATATATATATATATATAGATACGTCAGAGGTCGGACGCCTCTGGAGCAACTAGGGGTTAAGTGTCTTGCTCAGGGACACATTG